TAGAATAGTATGTCATTCTTGAAATTATATGGAAGGTCTAACCTTTTAAGTTTTAATCAAAATTTTATTTATAAGTCGATATATATAACGTTTATAATTTGCAAAATATTTGAATAAGAAAAGTGGATTAGTTTTTAAAAAGGTGAAAAAAGTTATACAAATGCAAACATTGATGTTTAATTTTTTATTTTTTGAATCTTGGACTACGATTTCTTCATTCGAAAAATTAATTTTACATTTCGTTTACATTTTGTAGTAAGTTAATCACGATTTGCTGAGTTATATATTTTCTTTTATTCGTGTGTGTTTTATGTGTTATATAGGAAGAAGCCGGTGTGCACGTACCATGATAACAAGTTGATATGCAGCGATGGTTCTGGTTCTAGTGGATTCAAGATTATGATTGGGAGATTGTGGCTTGTATTGATCTTGTCTCTTGTTATGTTTAGCTAACTTCGTAACTCGTTTTTTAGATAAACAACTTTTTTTTTTTTTTCTTGAGGAAAATTTCTCATTTGTTTATTTATTTTCATAAGTTTTCATGTGTACATAAGGCTAACTTCAAAGTAAATTTAAAGGTCAATTTGGTGGGTGTGAGAATAAAAATGAAGACACTACCATACATAATTGCAATGCAGTATTTATCCCCTTGGGGCCTCCAAATTAAATTTCTAAAATTAGAGGTTGCATTCTAAGAAAATGATAAATACTGTGGTTAAAATGAAAAAAACCCAGGAACTTATCGTAATTATTATGAATGGGCCTAAATTTGTCAATAGATGAGCCCAAAGTGAAACCCAAACACGAAACCCTTTGGTGTTATTGCGTTGTTGAAACGCGACGAAAAAAGAGAAATCTGAAAACGCCATTTTTCAGTTTCGCCGTGAGAATCCGATCTCATTCCTTCGTCGGAGAAAATGGCCACGGGTGGAAAAGTCTCCTTCAAAGTCACTCTGACTTCGGACCCTAAGCTTCCTTTCAAAGTGTAAGCGAATCGAATCGAGTCTCTATTCAATTTCCGTTTTTTGTTTGTGTTTGTATCTATACGCGTTTTGATTTGCTTGTGATTGATCTCTCTGGGTTGTTTTGTCTTCTCCGATCGGTGAATTTTCAGTTTCAGTGTACCGGAGGGAGCTCCGTTCACGGCGGTTCTGAAATTCGCAGCGGAGGAGTTTAAGGTTCCTCCCCAAACCAGCGCAATCATCACCAATGGTAATTAAACCTTATGATTTTGCATTTTGGGATTGATTCTTAAATCGTACAGTCAAGCATAATTGAGATCGATTTAGTGGCGAATTTGAGTTTTGTTCCTCTTGATTTCGTATGGTGAATTTGACATATGCACTATTGGTGAAATTGGATCTTGATGAATTTTCAACTAATTGTTAACAAATGTGTCCCTGCAAAATGGATGATCTATATTTGAATATCATTCATTTCATGTTCATGTGTTTGTGTAGTCACTTGAATTTTGTTTGACATGAATCATATTATGCATGTAAACACTTTCTCTCTTAGCTTTTTTTCTGTGTCTGTAGAGGTTAAAAATTGAAGCTTTATAGTGCGGGATGATCTCGAAGAGATTTAGTTTGAATAGAATTTAGTATTCTGCAGTGTAGTTTAGTCATTCATTGATTAATTTCGGCTGATTCTATTCATAGTTGTCAATACTCTAGATTTCTGATGTGATGTATATTCATGTGTGCAGATGGGATCGGGATCAATCCTCAACAGAGCGCAGGTATTTTCAAAATCCCAAGCATTTGAGTCGGTTGATTGCTTTCGATCTTTTATGCTATTCTCCGCAGTTTCCAGTTTTTTTTGTTTCTTCTTTGGCATGGGGTTTCTCTGCAATATCCTTAACTTTTTAGAAGATCACTCGCTGTCATTAAGCTATTTTTCAGTCTCTTTAGTGATTTCATTGTCCAAAAGAAACCGGGATTGCAACCGTTACAATTATTTATCCATGGTCGGGTTTTGCTGTCTTATATGTCTTTCACTTATTTTTTTGTGGAATGTTAATGAATGTGATTGATATGAATGTTGTCAGGAAATGTGTTCCTGAAGCATGGATCTGAGCTAAGACTTATCCCGCGCGATAGAGTTGGAGCTGCGTTTGTTATGGATCCATGAATATTGTCATAAGCAATGAGTAAAACTCAGTTCCATACTCCTTTAAAAGAATATATGTTGAAATGCTTAGTATACAACTTGCTATTTGAATAAATGTGGTGATGTTCTCACATCCTTTAGTGGAATTTGATCGATTAAAAAGTTTTATGCATGGGTATAATTCATATTCGTATATGCTCTTATATAATGTATGTATGTGCACTATATGGAGAGTATGCATCTCTCTATCTATGAATGTCTAACTTCAAACGTTTATCCAACACCGTAAATGTAAAAAATCACACCTTTATGAATATTTGTCAAAGTAAACTCAATCTCTGAGTATAATGCATGTAGCTTTCCAAGACATGTGTCTTCCCCTTCGTCAAATCACACGTTTATGGTTTCATTGATAGTATAATTTTTTTAGAGATTTCACTTATATTATAAACTAAAATTAATACGATCAATAG